CTTGTCAAGCTGCTGTACCAGTGAACCATTTTCTAGTCTAGCAAGAAAAATATAAGCTACAAAGGGACCTAATAGTGAAAACAGCTAAACTGTGCACGTTCATTTTCCTCATATTAAAAGTTTTATTTTGACCCGTAGACCATTATTATGCGATTTAATGCTCTTGGGTTATCCCTAGTCTATCAATTACTGTCTCCCACATTCACAGCTACATTTGGCTAAATCTTATACGGATGCTATTTTCTATCTTATGGTACGATGCGGTCTGTTTGGCTGGTTTATAAAACGGGTGTGTTTGAAATAAATGATCCATATATCAGAGGCTGATATTGGTGTTCTGGACTTGACAGGCAGGGCTAGGCAGGAAGAAGAACTGATAAAGACTCTGAATTACTCTTACGGGTTTTAGGCATCAGTGGTACGGTCTATAACTCACTGTTCTCTAGTTGGCAGTGTCATTGCGTAATACATTGATAGGGACACAGGACCACAAGATATAACAGTTTTAGGGATCTGATCAGTTCATTTTCCATCTTACTACTGACGTCCCTTTAGTTGTTCAGTTTCCGGAATTCTAGGTGACCAGTCAAGACGTTATTCATCTCGCCAATGTAATCTCTTTTGTTAACTAGAACAATTCCTGTTCCCTCACCAGATTCCATGGCACTCAGATTTTCGCCATCAATAAGTTCACCGGTGGTCTCCTTGTGTTTTTGGTTAAGATGCTTCTTTAGTTATATCTACTGTTTTCAAACCGATAGCAGCAATCTACTAGATTTGATTTGAAAAGTTCAAGTTGCTGATCGAAAGTCGGAAATATTGCAATACCTGACAATATTTAGAAAAGTTTATCCAGAACGCACCCCAATTTACTAAATTCTACCTAATTAATCTCGTTCTACATACCGCGTAATTTCCTGTTTGTAATAACATTATGATCTCTCCCACCCCATGTTAACCATATTTATCCCTATAATTTGTCTCACAACTTCATTTGACGTTGAAACGTATTCAAGTCAACACTTCATATCAGTCATCCAAACAGTGACGATCTTGTTTTGTTTTATATTAAAAACAATCCTAGTTTCACATCCTGTGGTTCTAATTGACGTACTTTGCCTTAAACCTGGTCATTCTTTGGATTACAAATTTGGATACATAGTTGTAGATCGTGAAGAGAACTAACTGAAGAAAGCAAAATCCCCAAAGGGCTTCTACATATAGACCGTGATCTATATTGTCGCCGTTTTTACCTTTATCAGACCTCAGTATTAGTTCATTACAGAATTGACAACTCAATATACCAACCCGGAATGTAGAACTTTCATCTTCATCATTTCAAAAACTTAATTACCCTTAGACCATATTTAGTTATGACAGTCTGGTACTGTAGCAGAAGAGGATACACTGGGGACAAGCTTATGTATTTCAACAAAAATTAGTTATTTTGTAAAAAGTATAAACCATACATTCAATCCTTCATTTGAAAAATATCCATCAATAGTCTCAGAATTTATTGTTCCTTTAATTCCACATCCATTACTGTCGGTCCCCATTATCTCCTGTTTGATATTCCCAACCTTCTGCTGCCAGGCTTTTACTTTCGGTTGGCGTTACATACTACTCATATCTGGCGACATAAGCAGCATACACTGCAGTACTAATAAATAGGGCATTTTTCAACTCACTTACCAGAATCAGATATTTGCTCGAAACTTATTAGAATTCGTCCAAAAAATCTTCCATTCGCATCCCACAACGTCAGTGAGGCAAACCAAGATAATAAATATAGGTAGCAAATGGCAAGGTACCGACTCTCATAGTTACAAAGATTATCCCATCCCGTGTACTGAACCGATTTAGGAGAAAGATATATCGCACCATACACGTGAATTCGGTAGTTTAATAATAGGTGAAAAATGAAGTTTCAGGTTTCCTGAGTTATTGAGAGCAGATGCCACTAATTTTGAACGATATCTCTTCGGTTACTAAACTGTTTTTTGAATACAGTCAATAGCAGAGTTGAGAATCCAGTGCTGGGGTCGATCAGTTTCTGATTTCTTTGTATACTGAATTTTGAAGTCGTGTTTTGAAATGAAAATAAAGAAAGTAAGTAAGCCATAGATCTCCGAATAATTTAAAAATTATCACTGCCTTATGCGACTAGGGAAACAAAATTGGCTCAACTGCTCTTGCATCATTTGAAAGTTTAGTGACTCTTGAGATGTAAATCAAAACTTTATGTCAAACCCCAGTGGTCAGAAATCACTAATACATCTTGAGAATTGCCTTGTAATCACCATTGAACAAAGTCAAGCTCTTACACTAAAGACCTTGACGACCGTTTTATTCAGGTTTGTGATCTATATCAGTACATTAATTCATTCTAACAGTTTAATAGAACTATCCTGATGCTACGAAATAACCATGACACTAGCTTTGAGTCACATCACTGTATATCCTGACACTTTTCTTCCATGGAAGCCTGTAATGAACACCTACAGAAACCATTTAAGGATGACTAGTACCGTGCCAACATGAGAACATGTGTAGTATGAACACAAAGGGAAAATATTTCAGATGAATAAGCCTGAACAACCAAACCATATTACCTCTATAACTTTCCCGTATTGGCCCATTCAAGTTCACTAGCTTTTAGCATTATTTTTACGACCTATGTCCCACTGACGACGTAGAAATAGATCTGCCTGAGAAACGACTTATGGTAAGCATTCAGCTTATTTCAAAAGTCACCACAGCACTCTCTCACTAAAATCCATCCAGGAAGACAATCTAGATGATGTGTGACTATTAAATCTATGTGCTTTCAACAGTATGGTTATATGTGACAACATTCTCTCCCACATATACATCCAAGAAGTTTCTTCGGTTTCACTAGGCTACACTACGGAACACCAAACCCACCACATATGGATAAATAAAATATTCAGAAGTTTCATGAAAGGCGTAGGATAAAGAGAAGTGACTTCGAAGAACAACCTCTCGGAGAGGTTAGTCAAGAACAAGAGGGAAAAAACAATCGCTGAGATGCAAGGAAAGTGGAACAAGTGGGTGAAATGCCTTGAAGAGTTCTTGAATAGACCAGTCATATTGAACGTACTGGGTTTCGAAGTGGCATACACAGACCTCCCTATAGGTGTTACTTCACCGAAATAGCAGAACTGACATACAAACCAGGAATGTCAAAACTACACGATCCGACAGAATTTCAGTTGAAGCTACAAAGTCAGATATAGGATTAGTTGCAATGATTCTCCACGTTTACTTCACAAAAGCGTGATGGGCAGAATGGTGTTGACAAACTGATAACAATGATACTTCATCAAGTTTCTGAAGAAGCAAGGTTTTGGTAGGTTTGAGAGCTACAAAGGCATTATACTACCGTCAGTGCCACATGAGCTTCCAATGGTGTCAACGAACCCAATGAAAGATTCACTACACGTCCAACCTTGGCATCACTAGACCAGCCTTCGTAAAAACAGATCAATTACTTACCAAAAAACAACAAATTTAGTCATTGGGGAACAATCATCTGATTGGAGTTCATCATCATACAACAAAGTGTTTGATAACAATAGGGCATCCGACAGCGCACACTTCGATACTATGCAGCAGTCGACAAGACCGCGACAATCGAAGGGAACTCCTACTGGCAGCTGCTGTGCAAATTCGTGTATGGACGGCAGCCCACAGATTCTATTCCAGTAAATACTGGTCTCTCCTCACTAGCTACCAAACGGATTATGAAGACCTCCACATCTCAAGACAAGCATAAAATATCGTGGACAACTTGAACACATCTGAAGAGTTTTTCACCACAGGTGACCTTAACCTACTATCTCACACGGCAACAAATGCAAACGAGGGCAGCTTGTGAATCAACGGCTTCTGCCTCAATGAACCTCAACATTCACAAGAGGAAGTCGGCGTCCTGAAATACAACCCAGTAATCACCGACCACATCATACTTGTTGGGGAAGTTTCGGGAGCCACGTAAGCCTTCACACACCCAGTCGGCATCACCGATAAACAAGAAGGGTCTGATAAAGATTCGAAAGCACAAATTGGCAAAGCAAACATGAAGAATGTCGAGGACTCGAAGGAAGAATCACTCGAGATCAGAGTCACAGTCTTCAATACAAACGTTGAAACTGTTCGAATGTATGGACCAGAAACTTCTGTGTCTGCCACAGTTATCATCAAAATATCCAGGTATTTATGAACGACTATCTACTCAAGTTGATTCAAATCTGTTCGGTAGAAAAGATCTAAATTAACTAGTGTAAAAGAATAGCTCATCTACCAATGGACGAGATCAGGAAGAGACTCTGTATGTGGATAGGTCACACTTTGCTCAGACCATTAACATATCACAAGGCGAGATATGACTCAGTTCTCACAGCACTAATAACAGTGGCAGATCAAAAAGTACATGACACCGAAAACCAGAGACAAAGATCGAGGCCATAAATATCACTTGTAAACAAGTGGAAAGGAGAGCACAGCACAGAGTTGGTGTTAGAACTCTGTTCGGTGGCCTATGCACTAATGGAGGTAACAGTTTTAAGCAAACGAGGGACACTAAATGGACAGTTGAGTGACAAATTCTGTCAACTGTTTACCAGCATTTCGGTTCGGCCCGTCTAGAATATGGAGGCGCAACGACTTTTCCTCAAATGTAAAATTGAGGAATACTATGGAATGCATTTCAGGTCGGTCAACGATATCAGTTAAAAGACTCAAGTTCAACCCTCAATAAGAACGCCCTGAATCACTGGATCGTTACTCACTGGGTTACAGATGACTAAAAGGCGACCTTTAAATGACATACAACATCCCAAGCACTCCTCGATATCCACTAAAATACCAATTTACTCTCGATTCCAACCCAGATTCAGGAAGAATATCCAGAATTTAGAATCAGAACATAACAGAATGAACTGTATGCACACATTCTGCTCTTTACGAGTAGTCAAATGCCGGAATTCAATGACGGTTGACGTGGTCCAAGAAGTTTCCTACAAGCTCTCTTAGAAGAAACTTGATCAGTACTTAATGATTCGAGAATGCATTTTGTACTAATTTACATAGACCTCTCTGACAAGTTTTTCACACATCCAGATACTTACTTGTGTACAAACGTGATCAATTGCTACAGATCAAGGAGGCTTCTTGACCGAATTCTGCTTCAATTCTGTTCCCAACCATTTGGAACACTTGTAGACCAGCCTAGAGATGTTTTGTCGCGCCTCATTCAAATCTCTCAAAACATTGTTCACGATTAGATGTAACGCGATGGTACGTTGTGGTCCCTCTAATTTCTTCCTTAAGTCTTCATCTCACAAGTCTTGGAATTCAATATATGAATTCACTGTTAAGGATATCAATGGTGTGGATGTCTCCTTAGAGAAATACCGGTATGTTCGATATTACTCTCCTATATAGAATAATAATTATTCGTTGTTTAGTGGTCACGTTTGTCTAATTGTTAATGTCGCTTGTAAGTGAGGCGCAACGGACAAGAACTATCGCCAACTCCAGGAGATGCACACTCGACTGGTTGGCAAAGGCCTCTGTATATTAGCATTCCCCTGCAATCAATTCGGTGGACAGGTGTGTATCACTTAAACCAATATTATTTGCAGGAACCCTGGACAGAAGCGGAGATTAAGAAGTTCGTGACTGAGAAGTACGGCGTCCAATTCGATATGTTTTCTAAGATAAAAGTCAATGGGTCTGACGCTGATGATCTTTATAAATTCCTCAAAAGTAGACTACATGGTACCCTAACAAAGTAATTGTTTTTTATTTGTTACTGTCGTAGTGATATTAAGTGGAACTTTTCAAAATTTCTTGTAGATCGTCAAGGCCAACCGGTTAAAAGATATTCTCCTACAACTGCCCCATATGTGAGTTGTTGAATTTGCAATATTTTGATTTTATTATCAGTTCCGACTGTCTAAATAGATAGAAGTAACTTAAGATAAATTAGAAAAATCAGAAATCTATCCTATACACCTAGATTTTTTGCTGAGTTATTGAAATATTTTGTCGTGCTATTCCTTAAGTATGTAACTTGTGGTCACTTAATCGATGCGTTAACTTCCGTCTAATGATATGTAGACGTAAAACTTGGTTCATAAACAAATCACTCAAGGTCACCATGTAATGTACATCACAAGAAATCAGTGTTGAAACACGTTCAAACAAACACTAGTAACGTATACTAACATCAGAAATTGAGGAGCAAAATCTTCACAATTGAAAATTAGTTATTGCCTCCGCTTGGTTGATCGCAAACAATGTCGTTAGGCCACGTGACGTAACTTATAGTCTCTGTGTTTTTGATGTTGTTATTAAGAAAGTTTACTGATCTGAACATTTAGCCGGTTAGTGACTTCGCTGAATAGCGGTTGTTTTGGTGATTTCATCAATTTATTTATTTATTTAAACACATAAATATTGGTACAAGGAAGCACCAGATAAATATGCTCATCACAAATCTCATTCGATTTGCGTGAGGGCTGTGATACTGCCCAGACTGAAGCAGGTGGTTTTCTTAGGGGGCCACACCCGTAGCCTTTGACCTAAAGGTCTAGTCCACAAGGCAGTGGAACATCGTAAGGAGATGCAGTCCCATGGTAGCCGGTGACCAACAGTTGGTTCATATGTCATTTGTTCCTTCAGGATCCTGGAGCCCATTGGTTTGGAATCAGGGTTTTCCAACTCCCCTAGATGGACTTCCCGTGTCCACCGGCCCGGTTAAAGCGCCGGACATTCGCTTTTCGTCCTCTCACTTTTGTGAACAACACCGGTGCCACGAAAAGGCAGTAAGTAGGACTTCCCTGGCAGAGGCTATATATTCGCGTGGTCATATGAGAGCATTTGGAGAGGGAGAGCAGATTCAACTCTCGGCCGTACCAGGGCATTTGGGGGCACAACATATCACCTCATAGCGGTGCATGTGGATAAATTCACCGGTTAATTTTCGTGAATGACAAAATGATATATCAACTCTAGTTATTTGTTAGTGTAATGGTATATGAATGAGGTCCATCGCTGCATACAGTTACTTAAGTTATTAGTCACCTTGTAATAGTCCGTACGCTTACAATTATTCGTGCCTCTACGTACTACAAGCAGTAAGTGTGATAATTAGAGTTTGTGTGGAAGTGTGCGAGACTTTTGTATGACAGTCTTCATCTCTCCATTTCCTGGTTTAGTGACACCGGTTAGCGCGTTCAGTACTTGGATGTGTAGCGGTTATTGAACAATATATCAATCTTGGTACAGTTTGTGTCAAACAATAGTGTAATCCTGGACTACTGCAGATTTCAAGGGCTAGGAATATCTAATTTTCTCACACTACGTAATTCATATGTATTCTGAATCTAACTTCCTACAAGTGATTTCTTATATTCTTCATTTACCTGTCGTGTGTCTGTTAGGGCAGACTTACTAATTGATATTGGCGAGATGATCGCAACGTATGGTTGCGTGAAGTATCCCACTTCTTATCTGGCATTCCTAACTTATTTTTCTCCAATCTCACCTTTTCTTTCTGTAATACATTTTTATGTACTGTGCTTCACATAGCGTTGATTCTCTCGTGTGTAATACTGATATGGAGTTCGGGAATTTGGACTGATGTATGTGCATGCCAAACAATTCCTTGATTTTGACCGTCTACCGTATTAGGTGGTTAATCCTAAGTATGATGCTTAATGTCTAATTGTAAGAAATTTCATGAGGCTGTTATAATTCTATCGATAAGTAATGACATATGTTTTAAGATTTCTGACCGAACTTTTAATTTTTTGTAGGATATTGAAGGAGATATCATGGAGCTTTTGGAGAAGAAGTGATCAATGGAACTTTTGAGCTTTGAACAAATTCTCGCTGTATGACGATGGCAATCTCAAATGTTCATTGGTTGCCATTTGATGAAATCAGTTTTGTGTGCACCTGATTGCAGAATTTTGTTTACCTTGCTCATTTTTTTCATTGAAACCACTTCTCAGAATAAATGTGTTATCTATAATTGAATGACTTGTACTTCACTGGACTTGCTTAGGAGTTAACTGAAATACTTCTCATCGTGATTACCAACCAATTTAATTTCAGAAGTGAACACTAGTGGTTGGACTATTAGAGAAGGTGGTTCATGTTTGCGTCGTTATTAATAAAAATGATCGGTTCTGTGGTATGACAATGTAGTCTAGTCAGTGAACTAATCATCGGGAGTGAAGTAGTTGAGCGTGTTGACTGCTTCACTTATCGTGGGAGTCTCATCAGCCCTTGTGGTCTGGTGTGTGACAAAATCTCAGCACGGATACAGAAGGCTCGTCTAGCTTTCGCCAACTTGCGTCATTTATGGCGTAGGCGAGATATCCATCTAGCAACAAAAGGACGGGTTTACTGTGCAGCAGTTCATTCAATCCTACTCTATGGCAGTGAAACATGGCCGATAAGAGTAGAGGATATTCACAGGCTACTAGTGTCCAATCATAGGTGTCTTCGAAGCATTGCTCGTATATCCTGGGACTACCGGGTAAGTAATGCAGATGTTAGTAAACGGGTACTAGGTAAGGATGGCAAATTGATTGATGAAGTAGTGAAACTTCATCAGTTGAGATGACTGGGACACGTGTTACGTATGCCCAACCATCGACTGCCCCGACGTGCAATGTTTCATGGTGTGGGAGTAGGTTGAAAGAAAGCTACAGGCGGCCGGAATAAAACGTGACACAAATCCATGAAGTCACTGACAAGTGGACTGAGCCATGTTGGTAGGTGTAGACAACCTGGTTGGGATTCGCGAGATGATAGCAACCGATAGTTAGAGACCTTGAATGACATGGCTCAAAATCGTTTGCAATGGCGAAGGTGTATCCACTCTTTGTGTTCTACCAAATTCTAATCCTTTGAAATCCACACGTCCCTATCCTTTTTCTCTTTCCAAATTTATTTCACTGTATTATACTCCTTGAATAACATCTTCAAACCCTAATCTCTCACATAATGCTTATACTCTTACTACTTCTACCACTATGGGATTTGAATAGACAATTGTATCTCTGTGCTAATGTGGTATGGCAACTCGAACTGATGTACGTACGTACGAAGTTCTACTTTGTGACTGGGTGTAGCCGTTTGATTTTAGTGTAAGCTTTCTCCCAAATGAAATTTTAAATTACCCTAACAACCTAGAGGTTCGTGAAAAGCATCTGGGAGATATACTTCCGTTTGTAATGTTAGGTGTGAATATCCGTCCTTGCATTTGGTCTGAAACCTCATTCTGCTACTTTTGTTTGTCTGCGTATTAAAAGACATTAATTGGACCACGGGAAATGGATTTTGAATATTATTGCGTGAATCCCACCGCGTAGTTGTGCGTCGAAGTCGAGACTACCTAAATATTGTCTAATTTGAGGCTGTGAAAATGATTCGATTTTTGTACTGTCAAAGTGGTTGTTGCCGTTATTGTGAGTGGTGATGTTACACGAAACCAATCTCGGAACGGCAAATGTTCAAGTTATGTTAATTTACAACACATTTATGAAGTCAGCGTAGTCACTAAATTGAAGATTTTCGACAACCATGTCAGTTCATTGTTGTCTCTAAATAACTACTTGGATTCGACAACAATACAATCTGAGCCACCAAATGCCTAGTAACATGGTACTGTGCAGTATTTGTGATCTGTTATAGAGAGAAAACCCGTGTCTCTTGATAGTGAGTGAATAAGTGTCGACGGTGACATGGTTGATAATGTCGACCTGCATATATTGAATGTCAGATCAATTTGTGCCAACCTATAACACCGGCACCGTCGCGATGTCAGTCGGGTTTAAAACATATCGATAGGAGCAGTTTCGCTGTATGATTTTGAAACCTGACTCCTATGAGTTGGTGTTGGATAACTCTGTATTCGGTCATCGTTGTCTGTGAAGGATTGCTAACATTTATTTATTTACTCTGAAGAATTGGATTATATTGAGTCACGAAACATCAGAAATATATATATAGTCTCATAGGTTATTTTATTTGAATAATTCTTTGTGTATTTTAGAGAATAATTTTTCTTAATTATTGTTAAATGTATAAATAATAAAGTTTATTTTATTTTTATCTCTATGCACTAATGACCTCATCTTTTCATGATATGGTTAAAAAAATAACTAACTATGTGTACTTATATTAATAGAGTAAACATAAAACTGAATTATTGATTTAAGTACAAAATTATTTATTACATATCAATTGCTCTTATGATTTACATAGTAAAATATATCCAATCACTAGTCATCTATATTATTGAAATGTGTATATATTTGAACAAGTGCAAAATCATATGAGATAATCATCAAAATCCATAATAAAAAATCAGTTATTCAACAACAAAAAACTATACAAAACCGACAATATCATGTTGATATATTTTTGTTAATAAATCTGAAAGCGAAGAAAAATAGAGAAGCATCTAGATGAAGAAAATTGAATGTTATCTAGTATAGTGTAAAATAATTTTCATAGTTGAAAGCATGAGTCAATTGAAGCTAGACCACCATGGAAAACCTAGAAGCACTGGACGGCCGTTTCGTCCGATTGTGGGACTCCTCAGCAGTGCGCATTCACGATCCCGCACTCGCAAGATTCGAACCCAGGATTTAACAGTCCCATAATAGGACGAAACAGCCGTTCAGTGCTTCCAGGTTTCCATGGTGGTCTAGCTTCAATTGATTCACGCTTTCAACTATGAAAATACTAAATCTCCACAAAACGCCTTCTGGTAATTATAAAATAATTAACATTATGAATGTACTTTTACATAAATTTAATGATACATTACTAAAAATATGTTCTATAAGCTACAATTTGTGCATGTGTCTACACATACCACAGAGTAGTAACACATATTAGCTGACTACTTAAACAAAAGTAGGCTAAGAAGAGTCATTCAAATCTATGATGTTTAATGATTGAAAGTTAGATTATTTAACTTTTAGGTCACCGATTTATCTACAAATTCTAATCACGATAATGGTTTATTGTTCAGCAATATACCAAGATGAGTAAATCAGGTATATTTCATGTGTTGTTAGATGTGTGTTACTTGTGATAATTAACACATGATTTTGGATTTCAAACATTTTGATATTTCTTGGTGAAATATATATTTGAAACAATGTGCATAGGTGATTAGATCATGTACATACTAAGTCAGAACATATCACAAAATTGGCAAGCTTAAGAGTTCTTTAAACGTTAGTGAGAGTTTCGCAATGATCGTCAGATCAAACTAGAAAACAATAGGCACCAAATTAAGTGGAAGTTTTCTTTTTCCGCCAAGTAGTTAACGCTGCTGGACTTTTGTACATACCGTCCCCAGTTAGATTTCTAAAATTTATGTTGAATTTCACAATATGAATCAGTCGCATTTTACAATACACAAACAATGGTGTTTACAATCTTGTACAAATCTCTTGTAAACATGTGTTCCACATGAAACAATGATGGAAAAACGTGACTTTAATCGATAATTAAAATCTATCATTTTGTTTCAACAGTCATAACGTCAATAATATTTATAATTGAGCTAATTATGACTATAACAACAGGATACAAACTGGCTGCTAAGATCGATCTAATTTATAAATAAGCTGTAAGTCTTTCAGGGTTTATAAACTATATAACTTTATCACTCGATTGCTGATGATCATTTATTCCCACATGAATAATATTAAGTTAAATTATGAATGTTCTTAATTACTTAACTAAATCAAAGACACTACGCATTTTTACAATTCAAATACACATACACACCAAGAAATAACGACACTAATTAAGTTATAACAGATGGATTATTTTGGTTTAAGTTCTACGCAAATTCTTATAGATATTTGCAGATTTATACCAAGGACTGACTTCATCTAAACAACCAATGAGGACAAGGGAACTAGGAATAACTGTTTTGTCCTATTGTGGAACTTCTCGACTGTTTCTATCTTATCTACTACCCCACTCACAACCATATCGGCTGTGAGACAAATGTCACCAGTGAGAATGGATAGTGGTCGTCCAATGCTTTCAAATCCGAATGTAAACTATGGAGCAAAGATTCAGTGGTCTGAATGTCAAGCGATCGCTGCTAAACTAGAAGATTACTGTTTTGCACCCCGGAGGAGTCAAGGATAAAAACTACTGGTGAGTCCTGTACTTGAATGAAATACCTCTCGATTACTTCCTGGCTAGTGATGGTAACAGCCAACACATTCTTTATGCTAGGAGACAGTGGCTTGAGAATGTACGAGTAAAAGCAGGTTAGAATACATTGTAATTGTCAAATCCACTTGCATCTTTTACCTTTATTCCCTTCTCATCCCGTTCATTTTGTGTATTACATCATGTTACTCACTAATATTCAGTAGCTAGTGGCATTTTTAATCATTTTTTTTGGCATAGAGAGCATAATATCCCTTCTTGTTAAATTCAATTTATAGATATGTTACATAAACTTGTGACTTTCAGTTCACTTATTGTTGTAGTTGTGATAACTACTTTGATTTCTTGTTTATTCATCAAAAATTTGTAACGGTAAAACAGTTTTAGTATTTTGTGTTCTTAGTACTCGTTTCGATTGTTGGTTGGCACTGTGGCATCAACAAAAATACTGGCTGTCACATAGATTATCGTGTTTTGGCAAATAATCCCCATACACCTATTACAAGAACCTCTTCATCTCTGAATTCATATACACGTGGTAAGCACCACAGAAAGTTCATTAACAGAGGCCAGTAAATATATTCCTTATATTGTCATTATTAATAGTACTGTACTTCACAGTAAGCTACTGTTTTGATTTCCGGATTTTGACACATCACATAGTCGTTTGGCCGCAAGCATCAAGTAAAATTAACGGTAATATTTGTGATTAAATAAACATTGAGAAAAGTTACGTCACATTAACTTCACTTACTGTTCTGAAAATGATCAAATAAATATTTCAAGTTATACAACGCATGCTTTTCTGGCTTCAGATATAAATTAAATCTTGAACCCAAAGAGATGATATTACGCTTTAGTATGTAAATTGCTAAGCTGTAAAAAGGAAGATGAAATTACAAAGGAATATTTAAATACAATAGTGAGTATACTTGGTTGTTCCATATCTTAATTAAATCTACAAAGTTAAGGTCTGTACGTAGGCAAACATTATTATTTGACATTACAATAGTGATAGAATAAGAAGAAAAGTTACTTCCACATAATCCTATAAAGGATTTGACAGAAAACTCGATCGCTAGCTCCTTATCGCTCTGCAAATACGATGCCAATGAGTAACTAGGTCAAAATCCAATAGCCTACATAACCACTTTAGGTCAATTCTAAAGCGAGAAAGCACAGTCTTTATCTAGTTTCATCAGTAGATTACTGCCTTGCTCTCAATCTGGTTGACTCATGCGTGTAGGATTGAAAGTACACAATGATAGATTTTTCCTTTGAAACCATAATGGAGCGACTATCCAGTGTTCAATTGTTTACCATGGTTTTCCGAATAATGTTGCATCGTGATGGAGACCACCCTCGAACTAATTTCATGCTGTGTGTAACCAGTACTAAAAGGACAAGACAAACATAACATTTGTTAACACTTAGTTATCAATCAATTGTTAGTATCTGAGTCCTACAGTGGGATAGTTGCGGCTTAGTGGTAACTTTTCGAAATATCAAGCTGAGTGACACGTGTTGGGATCCCAAAAGAGGCATCAGTTCTTTCGCGATTGGAGACCTGCTATGTTGATGAGAGTCAACTACCAGGAGACCTAGTTAGAAGGTTTCCTGTCAACTAACTTCAACCATATAGCTTTTCAAAATACCCCTTACTTATCAAAAGTGCAATCGGTCACATACTTAACAAGTCTTATATCTACTCTAAAATAATTTTTTTATACTACATTTTTTAAATACAAAAATTTTGTAATGAAAATAAAGTAAATACTTACCAACGATCTGATTGAGAAATTTCACGAGTGGAAATATCCAACAGTTTTAACTTGGGATAGATTTCAACAAAATCTCTAGGATAAATTATTGGTTGGTCAAGAATTGCAGTAATCAAAGTAAACAAATGCATGATATAAGCAAAGCATGTAGGAGATATAGATGTGTCAATTCCATAGTTTATATGATGAATTAGATTATTATTATTATTATTATTGTCATTAGACAATTCTATGCCATTCAATGGAACTGCAAAGTGCTCATTTATATGGACGTAATCATTAGAAAACTTATCCATGGATTCATCATTCTTTGTTGTTATTGAATTCTGGAACAAAGTAAAACGCAGATCAGAAACAAATTAACCGCTGATCGGATCATTTACTTTATCCATTTACCAAATATCAACTAACAGTTATTAATCAGTAATGTCTGTGTAATTGGAAGACTATATTGTACCAGAAACTAATAAGTAAAAGTCAAACAACACAAATGTTGATCTTCGATTTTACACAATTGATTTTAAAATTTAACAGTAGTTATATAATAAATCCATCAGAAATCGGATATTTGTGTTTCGTCATTTTGTTTTGAATATTTATTGCCCTTTGTCAATATCATTTAAAATTTACGTGGCAAGAGAATAGTTCGATATAACTTTTTGTAAAGTAAAAAGGTACTAAAAATCCCTTTACTGGTGATTACAGCTAGTTGGTACACTAAAATTTTAAATAAATGAGACGCTGAATGATAAGTATGTAGTTTCAATTGATTGATCGCTGAGTATTATTCAATGTCACGTTTATCTAGTCGTTTTAGTGGTCACTACTCAATGATTAATCAATTGTAACTAGTTTAATCCCACCGGAGATCAGTTGCAATTCAAATGACTCAGTAGTAACATCTCAGACTATGAAGCTGGGTGACATATGATTGAATCATCAAGGGAATACTAATTCCATCAAGATCACAGGCACACTTTGCTGAAGAGTGCCGTAAAGCACGAAATTCAGGTCTAGGGTATCCTATCGACTACATTCAACCACTTAACAAGTATATAATTCGTAAATATATACATTAAAATACATTTATATTCTTTTATTCCAAGACTCCGTGATTATTGGGTTTCGTCAGGACGGAATATAAATGCAAGATTACTTACTTTTTAGATTAGTGTGACTATTGTTCAATATGAAATTTGTTTTATTTCCATGCAATAGTTTGTTCAGCATATTATTCAATTTATAACAGTTCAGGAAGTATACATTAGTAATACGATCTTTCCAAGCAACAGTAATACTAATAGCTACAAAGTTTTCCTATCGAATAAAATATTCATATACTAGATACTAAACACAGAAATTAACATGATTATAAGTCAGTTAAAACATGGGTGAACATAAGAAGCGAATTTCGTAGGTCAATTAATAAGTGTTATAAACTGAAAAACTGGCGTCATGACCCCGGATATATCAAAGGTGTCTTCCAGTCACATTTTTAAATATTAGAACAAATATATTTCACTCAAGTTTTTAAACAATTATCTTGTCGAAACAATTCTTGAAGGTAGATTTTTCTCTACTCTTCTAACTCACAATGTATAATAGTAGGAGTTTTAATTGATGGGATGGTGTTATGGAAACTTTTGACTATGTGCTAAGTCGTTTGTTATTTGTTGAAGTGGAGAATCTGATATATACGTAAACAAACTTTCAATGAACTTGTGTCGTTTGCTTATTCTGATCGTTTATCCAACACCCATCATGTTGAACAGTCTAGCTGACTAAGAATACTCTTCTAATGATAGAGAAATAAGATACACCTGACTAGAAGCAATGGCAAAATACTTTATGATTTATTTGACTGATCACATAATGGTTTGTTTACACCGATTTCAAGAGTAATTTCTATTTCATTCAACTCCTTTACCATGTGTACGGATTGGTATACCAGGGTTCGAGCCACATTTTATGTATAAGAGCTAGTTATATTACTTAGTCGCTCAAACAGGATTAGGTGAGGCAGGGTTCATACCTGAGACTTAGTGGCTGGAAGTCGAACCCCTTAACCTCCGCGCCGCTACATGACATTCGAAAATAAAGGATGGAGCAAATAACCTAAGAATCCATAGTCTCAATTCCAATTTATATAAACGTGTTTTTCATAGCCTATCTAGTTTATTTTCTAAGATGGTCATTCACAGCTGCTGAAAAGCTACAGTAGAGGACAATAAACAAAATTACAAACTAGGCACAAACTATAAGTGGTACCAGCGAGATGTGAGAAACCTCATCAATGAATCGGTATGGCTATTACCAGTTCACTGAGATAAACTTTCCATTTGTTCAAAGTAGACATACGAATACTAAATACGTTTGATCGAGAATATGTTACGTGCTCTTCTTATAAATGTGAGGGAACATCTTAGTGGAGAGTTTTTGTGTAAGGCTTAAAGCTTAAAACAAAAAGAGGTAGGCGATTTCGTTGATGACGTTATGCAAATAAGTTTACTGAACGATAGTTGGAACATACTGCATACATCCATGCTTATTATCAAACTAGACTTGTTTGTATGTAAGTAGTGACCAAAGTGTTCACATGGTATAATAAACTGAATCACGGTCCATAATAACTTACGTTCATTTCATATGAAACAATGACAATTATTATAACTATGGCTTACTGTGATATCGTTTGAGCTAATTTCTTCACTAATGTTGTACACTGGATTTATTAAATCATCGATAAAAAGACCATAAACTTCATTTAACAAATAAAGAATACGAGTCATCAGTGCGTAACGTGTTTTGCTGAGGTCATTACTGTAAAAAAAGAAAAGGATACACGATTCAAGGAAAAACAAATGGATAATAGTACATAAATAAATACCTTAAGAATCTAGGGATGTTAATTGAAGAGCTGATATCAGTCCATGAAGTCACTGTCATTCACCAATAAACTCCTTCATTGAGATAAACAAATTTTTTATCTTATTGTTGTAATTCTTTCGTTTTTAATGACGCCAGGCGCATGGTTTTAGCAGTTCTATTTCAACGAATCAAGCTTTTGAAATGAAAAACAAGTATATATATATATATATAAATGATTAGTCCTCCCGATCTACCACATTGTACGGACATTCCATATACCTATATTAATTGTTGCTCTGGTTGTTAGAAAGGAATCGTCCTCATGACTTCCAATGAATCTCGGCTTTCACCATGAGGCATCATAATTTTTATAAGTGAAGATCCCTCGACTTCAAGGGTAGAGTTTAAATTGTTTTCTCTGGTTAACAAGGTTGTTTTTTGCGGGATGGAGTTCACGTTTACTACGTTTAAAAGCCATAAATGACAATGGAGAGAAACGTTGAGCAGCGAGTTCCTTTCTAGTTGATATAACGACATCCTCTCTATGCCACAAGTAACATAAGCTGGCAAAATCTAACCAGTCACACAACAACCTACCAGGGCTAACGAAACCTCTAAGATTAGTTTAGGTTCGACGCATACCCCTTCCGAAGCAACATGCGAAGAAAGAGGAACGCATTCCAAACTGATTGACTGATTCCAAACACACCAAAGGGAACAGAATAGTCCATTTTGTCAGCGTCTTCACCAAACAGGACTACACCACCCGCTTATCCCATGTCAGCAATTGAGTCTCCTGTTAGAAGACCAATTCCTAAAAATTCAGACGATGAGGGTGCTAATCTGAAAGCATATTTGTGACGAAATTAAATAAAAATGAGGAAAGCTGGCAATTCTGGCAAACAGCACTTGATGTTATTATTTTCGATGACAGTTCGCCATGAGATTTGACTTGACGAATAGTATTCGAGTAGAGACCCTGTATATGTGACGTAATTCTTTAATACCCCCTTTCATTGGTAAACACCGCCATAAAAGTTTTTGATCTACGAAGCTGGATGCTTCCTTAAGGTCAAGAAATACAGCTATAGTTGACAGTCAGTAGGTATGTTTATGTTGCGGAACCTGGAGCACTAGTTAAGCGTTGAACGGTTGTTGAGGTTAATAATTTAGACACTATGTTGACCAAACTGATTATTCTGTTGTCATCAGAAGAGGATTCCCATCCCTTCTTATAAATTGGAACGATCACCGAACGAAACCAATCGGATGGAAATACATTCGGTTCCCAGACGTAGGTTAATATCTCAGTTAATCTAACTGCTAAAACTGGACTAACATTTTTAAACATTTGAGGGGCTAATCCACTAAGGCCTGTTGCTTGTCTTTGTTTTAGATTAGCTAAGAGTATTTCAACCTCATTAAGAGTAGTACAGCTAATGTTAGCATCACATTCAGGTTGTTTGGTAACAGTAGGCAACTGGAGAATACCTGGAGACCAGTCAAAGTGTTATTTAAAGCGTTGCCCCCAACCTCTTGGTTCAGGAATGGGTAGTTTTAATGACTCCTCAGTTTTTAATACTTCTGTTATCTCTTCATAATTTAATTTTTTTATTGTGTGGCTCATATTTATTTTGGTGCCCCTATGTACCAATATTTATATGTTTAAATAAATAAATAGAACCTATAAGTCTGAAAAGATATCTACTGTTATATAGTGCCGCCGTCTTTTTCATTCTTTATGATTCCGCTGCTCACCACTGTTTACAATTATTGCGCAAATATTTTATCAAGCCGTATTTGAGTTGTCTTTTCCCCTCATCGTATTCTGAGCCTGATGGGATCAGTTTCTGAGAATCTATCAGTTCAGTAGATGCTCCCAAAGATTTTCCCCAACCTTTTGATCTAAGTCATTGGTATATATCAATGCTATTTCCATAGCTATTTGGATATCATCTCAACCGCTATCGAGGTGAACATCATCTAGATGATTAACTAACCGCATTTCTAGTTGTTCCTGAGGCATATTCATTAAGCTGAATTATAAGACATTTTTGTGCTGTAGATTATCTGCGTCCAATAAGATGTAAACAAACATGTGCTTGTATTAAAGCACAATCAGAGTCTAAACATGTCCTGCAGGGTGAGAGACAGTCTTCTGTCAAGCCTATCTAATGATGGTTGACGGAAATATAGTCCATTTATGTCCACTGTTGGGTCGATTTTAGGGATCGTCGCGCCAGATAATGTCTTTCTTTATGCTTGAAGTTGATGCTTACTAAGAACAAGTCATTGTCTGAGAGTACTTGTGGCAGAGCTGAGACAATGCAAGATCAGCATAAGTCTTTCATTTTGGTCTACACTACATACTTGGGTACTACAATACACTGCGACAATAACATCTGACCTTTTGGCTTTTGAAAGGAGAGCACAGATTTTTCTATAAAACGCATTCTTTACTTCATAGAAACTGCAGTCAGGCGTGTAGGTAGAGACTCCGTAATTTGAGTGGACTGTAACTGAAATCTGCTGTTGAGAATTAAGTAGTAAAGGTTCTAGATCCAGAGTTTCATATAAAATTTTCTGTGAAGCCTAATATTAAGATTTACAATATCCCTAAATTTCTCAGGAAAATAATTTATACAAAACGATGATAGAATGATCAAATAAAATACAACGACGTAAATAAGTGGACACGCCAATCATAATGATAAGACTTACTAGCCATCCTTTAAAGATTGTTTTAGAACTTGCAACCGGCTATTGATTGCTGCTTTATTTTCATCTATCTTTAAGAGTTCCTGTTCTGTAAACAAATATGAACAAGTTACATATTAAACAGAAGATAATAATATTGCAATAATAATCTTCATCTCTCGATCAAATAAAATCTTAAAAGTATATGGAGTTACTATGTTGAGATACAGTAGGTTTTATATTGACTAAACAAGCAATTATGTATCACTAAGAGTAGATAAAGATATAAATTAACTGAGCATTAATCTAAATGATCACAATTCATAGCCCCACGATAATGTGAATTTGACAAGATGGGATGAAAGAAATGAAAATCGAAAACAAGCAAATCTATTCATGAACAGCTGCAAAGAAAATATCTTAAACTTACCCAAATAAAAAATTTGGCTAGGATACGCTGATGATATCTTCGTGGTATTAAAACGTGAAATATACTACTCATTTTCGGAGAAACTAAACAATAAGTCACCCAGTATTAAATTTACTTTAGAATCAGACGGAGGTATATTAATCTTTCTAGACTGCCTAGTATATTTGGATGTGACTTTTTTCAAAAAAAAAAACACATTCGAACAAATATATAGATTTTAATTTCTCAGCTTCCATCAGAAGTACAACGGTATTAGCTATCATCAGTATTTTGAGAACTCGCATATCGATAACAAACAAAAAAGAAGAGAAAGGAGAACATAACTAGAATTCTTAAAAATAGAAATAACTAACCGGGAAATTTTGTCCACAAAATAGAGAATAATATTTAACATGACCGAATAAACACTCCGAAATCATGGACTAAAACAATCGTCATTCTATACGGATCACATAATCAGATGAGATTAAAAGAGTACTCAACAAATACAATATCAGAGTATTATTTGGAATCTCTGAAATACTACAAAGTAACTTAGTTTGTCTGAAAGATAAAATACCGAGGGATTCAAATTTTATTTGTGTCTACAAGATAAAATTTCCACACTGTTACGGAATATAAATCGGACAAAATTTTTTGAAGATCAAAGTCAGAAAAAATAAGCATTGCATAGACTCTGTTTAACCACCAATAAATTCGATAGAGCTTGGAAAATTTGAAAGATACTATAATATTAGGCCATAAAATTGAAATCGTTTAGAAAAAATTTTTAGATCACAAAAAATGTCTCATAACAGAAATGATTTACATGAAATGGAATTCGCATTGTTTGAATAAAAATGAGGGGTGGAGATAAAATTTTGCTTGGTCCCAACAGCACCACCCTTCCTCAAACTAACACTTTCAACACAAACGTGACAGTATAAGTTGTTCATCATAAAAACATGTATTTTTTTACAATTGAAACTATTGTCAAATGCATCAGTCCACGCCTGTCTGTTATGGTTATCAATTCATTTACTCAACATCACAGAATTTATTTATCCAGAACAACTTCGATGAAGTTACCAAACATAAGCTGATATTCTTGTAAGTTCTGGTTCACCGTTACTTTGATAAAGTTATCAGCACTAAAAAGCGGAATGCCAAGGTGAAGATTCACTACCCCACTTCCGATTCGCCATTTTCAAATAGTACCCTAGACCGAATTTCAGAACCGTTTACTCGATAGTCCCAACATACATGAACAACGCTCTGAAGGCATGTATCTAAATACTAGTGACCTAAAAATATCGTCTATTTTAGAAGCAACATATTATACTTGTCCAATGGTTGACAGACGGATAAACCGACCTGACAACGATTCTAGTACCAACATTCTTCTTACTCTATAGAAGGTCATGTAGAACTTTTGAATTTCATCCATTCAAATTCTACTTTTCTTGGACATCATATTTTCTATCATCCACTTTAATAACATGAAGAAATCATTGGGTCGTGTTCTAGAAATATGCAAAAAACACTTTGATTTTTAAAAAGTAATTAAAGCCCATCAGAAATTTGCATGCAATTAAACAAGATGATGCCGGTAAATTTGCTTTGGAAAACATCCTTCTCTTATCCAAAAATGTAAGTATCCATGCTATGGACGTACACTGAATCTAAATAAACTACATACAAAACACGAGTTTAATTATTTACCTGACAAATAGTGAACTGTTTAAACTTCTGTCACCGATTTCCAAACATTTCCATGAACCTTCCTTTCTTATATTTGTTTTGACTGGCTAATTGTGTACGTTTATGAGTTTTGTAAAGACCTTACAACTTACTGAGAAGCTAACTACTCCAATATTCAAACTAAAGTATCGCGGTGGCAAGTATACTTTCCTACACGTTCTTCCAATATGCAGATGGTATCATACTTTCTGGAAGTCCTGAATATCAGGTTCTTATATCTTTCAATTTTTAAGTTAGCCGAAAGAAGTACTATAAGTAATGAATTCGTACTTGTCTGAATAGGCCCACTCTATCATTAGCCCAAGTAAGAGAAGCAAATGAAACGATTTAATATCAATTGGGACAGAGATTTAAAACTGTTTCCATTCTCTTAGGTCTTCACTGTTATTATCTGTTATTACCTTTACTCTTGACATTTTTTGTTATTGCGTGAGTTGAAGTCACTTGAAGTGATGAAAACATGAGACGGATCTTACATTACTATGCCTATATATATATGCCGATCAGTTAATAGTTGGACTAAAATAAGATCCAAAAAGTGTCTTAAGGTATTCGTTTTACAAATTGCCACTCAGTCGATTTTGTTCAAACAAAATTTTAAGATAACGAGTCATAGGATTAAATACTTAAATCACTTTTTAATACTTTTGATATGATGATTTAGGTCACTATTTTTGTTGGTAAAAACATGTAACTAAAGTTAATCTGTAGGGAGTTATGTAGGAATAAATGTTTTTACCAAGCATATGGGGTAGTCTTTCGAGACCTAAAAGTCATTTTCATCAGTAACAAAGGGAAAACAAATTCTGAACCAGTTATTTACAAGTCAACGTCTAGGTTTTAGGCATATATTCCCACATGTTTTTATGAAACTGGGATTCCAATATACTAGCAAGCCAAAATATCATTTCGATATTGAAAAGTATCCAGTCGGAAAGCAATGTTTTGAAATAGGCACTGAAGCCAAAATAACAGATATGGAGCTAGCGACCTGCCACTACCACCCATAAACTAAAGATACAATTTAACAATATAAATCACAAATAATGTAATAAAACACGTCAACAGTATACATAGATATTACCGTCCGATGACAAACATATACGTATTAAACACAAACTTTTAAATAGTTGGCTGATTATAAACTAATTATTCTAAATTCACTTAGTATTGTTTTTTGAATCTTCCCATCGATGTGTTAGGACTACAACTGGTCAGTCTCTAATTGGCATATGTGCATACTGTGCGTATTGCCTCGATATACCTTAATTCAGGTACATCCGGCTGACGAGTCCCAAATAGGACGAAACGCGCGTCCTGGATTCCACTGCTAGCCACTATCCATCTCTGCTTACCATAATTATTCTAAAGTTTAAAACTATACTACTCTTTTCAGGGAATCAATGTGGTTGAGTGGTGACAAAAACATCCATTCCTTTCAAAAAATTACAAATCTGAAATCTTAAAAACGTAAAAAAAAAGTGGTTAAAACTTGCCTAGAGTAAATTTTCTGCTTTCCAGTACGTGTAGTTTATTGCGTGCTAGTGATATTGAGTACTTGAGTGTTTCTGTGCGTTGCTTGACAGAGTCGATTGCAATAGCTAATCTTTCAGTAGCTATACCCTTAAAATTTCGAATAAACAGGTAGAAACTGGCAGTGTAAGTTATATATTTCAACAATTTTAACCATAAGTTTCAATCTACACAGAACTGAGGGCGTTGTTTATGAAATTGAGAAAACGAAAAGCGAATATCCTGCGCTTTAACCAGGTTGGTGGACACGGAAAGTTCACCTAGGGGAATTGGAAAACCATGATTCCAAACCAATGGTCCACATGGGCTTAGTATCCCGGGGGAATAAATGGTGTATGAACCAATTGTTGGTCACCGGCTACCATTGAACTGCATATCCTTACGTCGCTCCACTACTTTGTGGATTAGACCTTTAGATCAAAGACTCGGGGTGTGACGCTCTGCTTCGGTTAGGGCACCCGGGTAGTATCCCAGCCCTCAAATAAATTGAATGATTTATGTGGCGCCTTTCTATTTGATGCCTCCTTGTACCAATGTTTATGTGTTTAGATAAATAAAATAACTGGGGACAAAGTAATGCAGTGAGAGCTAGAAATCAAAATCAGCAAAGGTTACATCACGATAGTTCAGTAACACTTCTAATCCCGAGAAATAAATAGGATATGGTAGATATTTGCCTTATTTTAATATTATTCTCTTACTTGACACTACTCAAGTCTACGGAGATTATTTTCGTGATAAACAGATCATTTTGATGACCAATGGAAGCTAGACAGTGATAAGTGACTTCATTCTAACCACGAGACTTAAGCAAACCCCACCACCATTCTCCGATAAATGAAAACCAGCAGCAGATTTTGTAAATCTTCTATTCGTACACCTAAGTCACTAGTTTGAACTTCAATAGTGATGAATAATCACTGATTTCAATTCTTTGTAATGTATTTTTACTCATCTTGTTTTGATTAACAAAGTAACGTAACTTACGATAGAGTCGAAAACTCATTCGCACCAGTAAACGCATATCTGTTTAGCTAATTTAGCACTCATGGATATCAAGTTCATTTGTACATACGTTGCTTGGACCTGATATTAGTTAGACAACCAAGTATATTTGGAAACAGGCTCTACTTCAAGAAAATTATCTATCTGGAATTTAACGCGTTAATAACAAACGCACACTTAACAATTGTACAGACGGCCTATAAAATATAGAAATTATTAGTAGGAAGTGAATTCTGGTCACTTTCAACTTATAGAAAAAATCCTTTACTGAGCTATTGAACTATGGTGGTTAGAACCAACAAATTTATAAGGGTGTTGAAAATATATAGGTCATATGTTTCAAAGTCAAATGTGCAGAACATGATTTGAATCTGAATGTGCGAAATTAGTACAAAGGCAGTGCAATGATAACAGCATTCCATTTCTAATTAGAAACATGCTGAATTTTAGGTACACAACACAAAATTGCTATATGGAGCCAAATGGCTTCCAAAACTCTGACTACTCAATGAATTAGATCACTCCAAAAGCAAAAGCACTTACTTGACTAAATAAGCTATGAAGTGAGGATTGCAAACCACTAGCAAGATTTTGCATGTAACTGATACGTTCTAACTGAACCTTAGAAGCTTCTTTGTTAGCTAAAAACCTGAGCTCATCATTAGCAGCAACGGAAAGCAAATTACTTTTGAAGCGTGGTAAAGTTGTAAGATAACTTGGAGGCAAGGAGGGACCTACTTTTAGGCAACTAGAAATCAATTATTTAATAAGAATGCTACCAGATGGGGACAAATTATGCCCGGGTCAAAGTGTTCACGAGAAGCATAAATACGCCCGCCCATCTGGAAGTAAACCTGATCTCTTGAGTCAGAGATACACATATTTTCGCGCATCTAAACAACAATTATATAAATTATTACGTACTTCTGAGTTTGTAAGAACGAGGCCGGAAAAATGTACTACAATCTCAAACAGAATTGAGTTGCTTTCTCTATGAGATAGAAAAAAAGTAAACAAGACAGCTGATACAGATGTTTCAGGAATCAATTTCAAACCTTTAGATGATAGGTATTGTTTAGGGAGATTACGTATTTCAATGGGATCCCATTCTGGATTCTGAAAAAATATTACTGAAAAGTGATACGCTACTTTGAGGTCACAGGCAACATCACTGACGTAGTAGTCTGTAAATAAGATTCTTTTTAAAAATATCTTACATCCAATGTTATCCTGATTCACAGAACTTAAGGCAAAAGTCACTCCTACAGTTGCACTGGACTCTTCGTCGGGGACACTAAAATTTCGTCCATAGACAGCTCGAAGATGTCTCAGCCGCAACTGAAATATGTCGTTAGAAGAAAAAAAACTTACAATGACAGTAGACATTTTAATCACCTTTAACACATCATAGTTTTAGACCTTGAAACGTAGCGTCCAAGTTCAAATTTCTGTATCGACATCTAATATCTCCATATCAAGTCGATGTCAACCATTTGTAACTTGTTTTGGTATCTCGCTGTTGATGCGAAATTCCAGAAAACAGTAGTCTCTGATGAGGTAAATCTAGGTAGTTTTCTTCCTTATCATTAGTGACTTCAATGAATTTCCAGTGGTTCATTTCTTTTAAAGCCATAACTTTCATCCTCAGGATGTAGTGTTGATAAAACTACTACCTAATGCGGCTCAAGACGGTGGTTTGATGATCAGTGTCTAAGAACTTAGTTGGTCGCTGGTCATTCGAAACTCTCTTATGATGAGTGCTGTAAACCTTTAAACCTATTCCTATTATCCTATTGTGTAACGCAGAATGATCTTATATCGGCATTCCGTATCTTAAGTGATATTCTGGATATTAACAATCCACATCTTCTGCCCTATCCAGAACTAATTACCTTCAAAGCCACAGCATTAAGTTTCTAAAACCTTAATTGAAATAAACTTGAAGCGGGATTTCGTTTTTCTTATCGAGTGGTTAATGACTGAAACGCCACATCCGAACATATGCTATCTGCCTCATCGGTGAACACTTCCAGGGAGAATATGGATTTTCACTGAAGATGCTACCTAGATTAACACATGTCAAACGACCTACTATCTTGTGGCTAAATACTGAAGACTAAAAACCATCTGAGATTTATGATTCTCAACACATAGAATGTTGTTTGATAGTATGAGAAAACAGGTGAAGTAAGTTTTCACCAGCTCCATTAATTTCAAGTACAGATATCCGAGTTTATACGTTACTAATCGAGGATCAGTAAACTTGTATATCCCATGTACCTTGTTGTTACCTGATAAAAAGTCATAATTCTCACACTCACATAACCTACTACAAAACTAAACTGTAATGAAAGAAAACCAACAACCTTAATTAACTGTTAGGAAATTAGACCAGGATATTGTGGTGGGATTATGGAAAATATGTCTCATGTACAAGAATCCATATATATATATATATATATATATATATATTACTCGCCTGTAGCTCCTCTAGGGGATACTGCTGGTCCCAAGCCCGGGTAAAGCAGGAGGGTTGGGCATGGGGCTTGCAACCCCATCCCATAGAAAACCAACTCGATAAAAAAAATGCTAACCGGAAAAAATTATTCAAACCATTTAAACTCTGCCCTGAGAGTAGAGGGAATAATTATGACGTCTCATGATGAAAGCCGAGTTCCTTCGGAAGTCATGAGGCCGATGCACCTTCTTACAACCAGAGCGACAATTTTTATAGGCACATGGAATGTCAGAACAATGTGGGAGACCGGAAGAGTCTTCCAAATCGCTGCAGAAATGAGAAAATACAACCTGGAGGTGCATGGAATCAGTGAAACACATTGGACACAGGTTGGACAACAACGATTCTCTTCAGGAGAACTTCTGTTATACTCCGGTCATGAAGAAGAAAATGCCCCACATACACAAGGAGTTGCATTGATGCTGTCCAGAAAAGCACAAAATGCACTTATTGGATGGGAATCTCATGGACCAAGGATCATCAAAGCTTCCCTCAAAACAAACAGAGAGGGCATTAGAATGAACGTCATCCAATGCTATGCGGCTACCAACGACTACGATGAAGACGCTAAAGACCAATTCTATGATAGACTGCAGTCGATCTTCGAGAAGTGCCCAACCAAGGACCTGACCATTCTGATGGGAGATTTCAATGCCAAGGTTGGAAAGGACAACATGGACTGGGAGGAAGGAACGTAAATGGTGAGAGACTTGCAAACCTATGTGTCTTCAATAAACTGGTCATAGGTGGCACCATATTCTCACACAAAAACATACACAAAGCCACTTGGATTTCACCGGATCACACTACACAGAATCAAATCGACCATATCTACATCAACAAAAAGTTCAGGAGGACGATGGAGGATGTTAGAACCAGAAGAGGAGCTGATATAGCATCCGATCATCATTTGCTGGTCGCCAAGATGAAACTAAAACTCAAGAAGCACTGGACAACGGCGCGGACAACATCACAAAAGTTTAATACGGCCTTTCTTCGAGATGCTGACAAACTCAACAAATTCAACATAACCCTAAGCAACAGGTTCCAGGCCTTACGTGATCTACTCGATGGAGAGGGGACTACCATGGAGAGCAACTGGAAAGGTATCAAGGAGGCAATCATTTCAACATGTCAGGAGGTTCTGGGCCAAAAGAAGCACCATCACAAGGAAAGGATCGCTGTTGGAACACTGGATAAAATTGAAGAAAGAAGAAACAAGAAGGTAGCAATCAATATCAGCCGAACAAGAGCGGAAAAAGCCAAGGCACAAGCCGAATACACAGAGGCAAACAAGCAAGTGAAGAGGAGCATCAGAACCGGCAAACGTAAATATGTGGAAGATTTAGAATTGACGGCGGAAAAGGCTGCAAGAGAGGGAAACATGAGACAACTGTATGATACAACAAAGAAACTTGCCGGAAATTACAGTAAACCAGAAAGACCAGTGAAAAGCAAGGAAGGCAAGGTAATCACCGACATTGAAGAACAACGAAACAGGTGGGTAGAACACTTCAAAGAACTCTTGAATCGACCAGCTCCGCTGAGCCCACTCAACATCGAAGCAGCACCCACAGACATCCCACCAACAATTGAATAGATCCGTATGACCAGCAGACAAATCAAGAGCGGCAAAGCAGCAGGACCAGACAACATCCTGGCAGAGGCACTGAAGGCAAATGTAACAGCAACTGCCAAGATACTCCACATCCTCTTCAGTAAGATTTGGCATGAAGAACAAGTGCCAACAGACTAGAAAGAAGGACTTCTGATCAAGATGCCGAAGAAAGGCGACCTCAGCAAGTGCGATAACTACAGGGACATCACTCTTCTCTCAATACCAGGAAAAGTCTTCAATAGAGTATTGTTAGACAGGATGAAGCATTCCGTGGACGCCCAACTTCGAGATCAACAAGCTGGATTTCGTAAGGATAGATCGTGCACAAATGAAATCGCAACTCTACGTATCATTGTGGAACAATCAATCGAATGGAATTCATCACTCTACATCAACTTCATCGACTACGAGAAGGCATTTGATAGCGCGGATAGGACAACACTATGGAGGCTTCTTCGACACCACGGCGTGCCTGAGAAGGTAGTCAATATCACACGGAACTCCTATGATGGACTAAACTGCTAAATCGTCCACGGAGGACAACTCATCGACCGGTGTTAGGCAAGGTTGCTTACTCTCACCCTTTCTCTTTCTCTTGGTGATCGACTAAATCATGAAGACGTCAACATCTGGAGGAAAGCACGGGATAAAGTGGATAGGCAGGATGCAGCTTGACGATTTGGACTTCGCAGACGATCTGGCTCTTCTATCACACACGCAACAACAAATGCAGGAGAAGCCGACCAGTGTAGCAGCAGCCTCAGCAGCAGTAGGTCTCAACATACACAGAGGGAAAAGCAAGATTCTCCGATACAATACAACATGCACCAGTTGAATTACACTTGACGGAGTAGCTTTGGAGAGTGTGGAAACCTTTACATATCTGGGCAGCATCATTGATGAACACGGTGGATCAGATGCAGATGTGAGGGCGAGGATCGGAAAAGCAAGAGCAGCACATTTACAGCTGAAGAACACTTGGAACTCAAAACAATTGTCAACCGACACGAAGGTCAGAATTTTCAATACAAATGTCAAGACAGTTCTACTGTATGGGGCCGAAACGTGGAGAACTACGAAAGCCATTATCCAGAAGATACAAGTGTTTATTAACAGTTGTCTACGCAATATACTTCGAATCCGTTCGCCAGACACTATAAGCAGCAAGTTACTGTGGGAGACAACGAACTAGATTCCAGCGGAGGAAGAAATCAGGAAGAAGCTCTGGAAGTGGATAAGACATACGTTGAGGAAACCACCCAATTGCGTCACAATACAAGCCCTCACATGAAATCCTGAAGGCCGAAGGAGAAGAGGAAGACCAAAGAACAAATTACATCGAGAAAGAGACAGACGTAAGAAGAATGAACAAAAATTAGATAGAACTATAAAGGAAGGTCCAGGACAGAGTGTGTTGGAGAATGCTGGTCGGAGGCCTATGCTCCATTGGGAGTAACAGGCGTAAGTAATATATATAAATATTCTTCACAAAAAAGGCAACAGATTGAGGATGGGATTTTTTTTAAAAGTTTTATAGTGTCATTGTGTTCAGATACTAATTGCCGTCTCTAGTTACTATACATGATCAAGTATCAGTGCTTACCCGACTATAACGGGATCAAATATATTTCTCCTTATGTATTGGCTGTACAACTTCATGTTGTTCAATCTAGCGCTGTAAGTCGGAAATTAATAGGCTATTTTAGCGATCAGAAACCCTTCGCATCACTGAATAGCAGTAATAATAGTACTGGTAATTTTTTTTATCATTGTTGTTATAGCTTGGTACGTAATTTCTGTTGAAGTTTCAGCTCTATGATAACTGGTGACACATACAAAGCAACTTTGATTACGTGTCGTTGAACTATTTGGCGAACGCATTTGCACCCCAGTAGAGAAGGAAAAATCACCATATAAAACAGAGCCGACCTCAATACCTTCCTGTGAAATCACTAACGTGTATTCCAGTGTGCACAATAATTTTAATTCAGTTAACACACTGAAACATTGCTACAATGAGAAACAAGATGTTATTCAAGCTAGCATGCTAAAAAGTGGAAGTAGTGATCTGTGTGTTATACTTCCCAAGCTATTTGAAATATTACTTTCTACAGCATGTTACCTTACCGTTTTAGAAGTAAAGATATTCAAGGCGACCAAAAGCAGTTATTGTGAATAGTAGTAATCTCACTCGTTTATACTTTTTACTTGAACACTATTGGTTTTGACTTTGTCTTTGGTTTGGCACTC